CAAAAGCCAGATGTGTTTTGTATTCATACCATCAGTGTGTAGTTGGCACATTGTGTGCTTAATAGATGATGGCTTGTGTTTACTGTTTGATATACGAAAACACCATTTTTACGAAGGTGTGAAGATTTAATCTAGCTGTGTTCGCTTTTGCAAGAGAACTACAATGTTTTGATAATTGGGTGAAAGGTTTTCTTATTTGTGTGTAGAGTTTTGCAAAAATAGCTATTAGTTACAAAAAAATGTGCTTAAGCAATCAGAAAAAAAATGTAATTAAAGATTAATTAAAACAAATAAAAAAAATTAAAATAAATAAATAATTAATTCATAAATATTATTGAAATAAAAAATATGCATATTAATATAAATAATTTAATACATTTGTTTTTACCAACAAAACACAAATGTACAGCCGTCATTTGGAAGTTCCTAGCAGCATGAGCTGTCCTGGCATGCGCAGATGTGTGTTAATGTGTGTGTGTGTGTGTGTGTGGTGGGAAAGCGGAGCGGACACAGGCAAAAATCAAGCAGAAATACATGAGATTTGGTCCCGCTGTTCAGCCGAGCAACAATAAAGACATCTCTCAGCGGGTCAGCGGATTCAGTGTGTGTGTGTGTGTGTGTGTGTGAGACATCGGCTGTAGTGATGAATGAAGGAATGTTCCAGCGATGACACAAAACCAGCTCATCTCACTCTATCCAGAACAATACATCGAGAACATGCGATAGACACCTGTATGTTCAGTCCACCTCATGAAAACATCTTATTCTTACAAATAAAGCACACGAGTCATCATCAGAGACTGAGAGTCTGTGCCTAGTTTAATTATCAACGCCAGAAGAGTTATTGCAGGCAACATTTCTATGGGATATTTGATTGTAAGATCAGATCGATACAGAAATATGAGTCAGAACGAGATGAAGGGCTTTACCAACAGATGACTTGCATTTAACATGGTTTTTATGCTTTTGAAACCCCTAATGCATGATTTTACAATAACAGTATTTTACACCATTTCTCCTCTGTCTGCTATTTGCTTTAAACCCCAGTGAGTGAACAGTATACATCATATAAACAATGCATTATAAACGTTTTTTGAATGCATTTATTGTGCACCTTATAATGCATGATCTAATGAATTATTGTAACCACAGTTATAATGCATTATAATACCATTCAGAGCAAAACATGTGCGATTTAGTGCAGATGCTGATATTTATATGGACGAAAAGTTCTGATAGCTTGTAATCAATGAGATCTTTATAACAGTACATGCATATAAATATCAGTATACATCTGCCAATAATGTCTTAGTATGATATTTAAACACTTAGTTTTATGATCAAAGCTCTGTAGTTTTAAAACAAAGCAATGCAATACAATGATGATTGAGATATGAACAAATAAACCTTCCTCAAAAGCCTGATGATCATATTTGAAACTCATAATATTTATAATAAATGATGTCTGATAATCAAGTAAACCTTGATTCTCAGACAGTTGAATTTTACTAATAATATCAAAGTTATTCTTACGCGTATACTTGACAAAAACAGATTTCACAGTGGACGTATTAAAAGCATGTTATAGATTGTGTGCAACAGGTTTTTCCGAAACGTTTTGATCATGTTGATCATTAAAAGGCCTTAGGAATACGATACAGTAGCTTTACAGGGTTAATATTTCATGCAAATTTTATGAGAAGTTCTTAGCACATCAATTCTTCACCTAATTGTGTGTCTAATAGCCGTTTGTGGTGAATACTTCAGTGTGTGTGTGGCCACAGCTTCTCTCTGCAAAACATGAGGACGATCAATACGGGTTTATAATGGCAGTGTCTCATTGACCATCCATGAAGCCACGAAACACACTTTGCATTGCTTTTCATCAACGTGGAATCTGCACCTGCCATTCATAACATAATAAACTCATTGCATCATTGTATTTTAGATCATTTGGCGATGCTTTCAGCTACCAATACTCTCAGATCAGTGTAACATATGTTGCCATGTTTAAATGAATTCAGCCAATCTTCCCCCGACTTAGAAGCTATTTTCTGAGAGTCACACACACACACACACACACTCGCAGCGTCAGCAGAGTCTGTCCTCTGACCTGTGAGAGACATCAGCTCACACTGCGCCGCTCCTGTGGGACTGATGTGTGTGTTTGACCGCTTCAACACACACCAGCACAACAATAGACCAAGACAACAATGGCAGAGCATCTCAAAGAAACGTTTTACCATAGAAAACATCCTGCTACTATAGCAACAGCCGATCGCAGTTCACCAATAACATCATCGTGTCGTTTCTATGCTATAAATTATGAATAATTACATGCAATTTACCCTAAACCAAACATTTGAGTAAATACATGTAGTTAATTAACATTACTCAGTGCTTAACACTGACACCTTAAAATAAAGTGTAACCGACACGTCTGCTTATTCTTTATTATGACTGCTTTCCACATTATACATTAATAGTTCAATCACGGCACTATGGAATATAGATATTTACATTTATGCATTTATGCATTTAAAAGTAGGCCTGTCACAATTATTGATTAATCGTCTAATCATGGTCATTCGAATCTAATCACAATTATGTAGGATAACAGCAATAATTGTGCAATTAAATATTTTTTTATTTAATTCAAATTTTGCCAAAGTATTTATATATTATATTAAATACATTTTCACAGCCTCTTCCTCCATAAATAGTGTTTTAGGGTACGTTTACACAACAACGATGGACTAAAAACATGCGTTTTCCTTCAGCGATCAGAAGCGCTGTTCTGCTGTCAGGCCAGTAGGTGGCGATGTCACTGTGTAAAGAAACACTACACGTCTGTAGAATGAACACGTAATACACACGTGCATGACGTCACCGGTTTCACAAATTCGAGTTTTTGTAGTTTACACGGAGACGACGATGACGATATCGTTTTCAAAAACTTGCACTTTGAATCCCGTTTTCATTAGTTCGTGTTTTCAGGCCACAAGACGCCGCTGTCTAGGAACAACAAAACACATAAAAAGTTGAAAGCAGTGTCGCATAAATGGCCCCTAAATCATCCCATGATAATTTACTCATTAATTTACCACTGATCACACTTTAACATAGGAGGATTTTAACTATTGGAGGAACATGCGCACTTGATTCATTACAAGGAAAAAACAATAATCCATATTATAGTCATATACAAACTTTAAACCCCCATAATTGTGTACAAAACTAATTTCAAGCATCTAAGCAAAAGCCTTTAGATTAAAATATCTGATAATGAAAATGAATTCAGTGAAGTGCTCAAACTGTCGAGTGGTTCGTCACGTGTGTAAGAGCAGCAGCAACACTTCTGACACACACATTAATAACTGCAGCAGCGCTGGAGCTCATATCAGTTCATATTTCTAGTTTACATTAAGACACAGCTCATGCTTCATGCAGTGTCTCTATCAGCAGATCCAGCACAACACCGAGGAGCATCTCTGATCTCAGATCTGAGACGGAGCAGAGAGCAAATCAACTCTTGTGACGTCACCAAACTCGCTGACAGATGAAGACTTCCGCAGAAATCCCGCGCAATATTTATTACATAACGCAAAGATATGAAAGGCAAAAGAAGTTTGCTGTGCTATTTGGACTATATGCAGAATTTTTTCAAACTAGGGTCTGCAAGGAAATGACAGGAAAAACTGTAAAAAAAATAATTAAATTAATAAAAAGTCAAATAAATTAGTAAAAATATGATAAAAATAAATAAAAATAATAATGATTAATATTAATAAATAAATGTATTAAAAATAAATGTATACATTTATAAATATATATTTTATATTAGAAGAAAAAAATAGGCCTATTGACTAAAATAAATAAAATGTAAAAAGCAATATTATAAACTTTATATTATATTATATTGTAAATATTGACTAGAATAAATAAATATTAACTGATGCATTTATTAAAAATAAATAATTTGATTAAAATTAAACAAATAAATTTAACAGTAAATTACTGTAGTGAGTGGAAAATAATAATAATACTTAATAGAAACTCATTTTAGATCCATAATATTAATGTATAAATGTGGTGTTTATAAAAGATAGCTTTCTTTTCAATTTTAGGATGGGTGTCCCTGACTGACATCATGAGTATGATCATATTTAGGGGTCCATTGCATCTAAAAAGATTGAAAACACCTGTATAGCAACAGCTACATCATACTTGCACATGTGTTTTCTTAAGGTGCTCCAATAACCTTGGTTTTATTTAGAACTTCATTTAGAAAATCATTTTTCCAGTTTCCACAATTTCTCATCTCATCGCCATACATCTACATCACAGCACGAACCAATCAGAACCACACAAACCTGGACGGGGAGCCGCGCGTGCAAACGATAGAAAACACCTGCATGTATCTATAGCAACATGCAGTTACACATATTATACTTGCACTGTATCTACATTCACCATGTATTTTCTTTAGGAGCTCCAATAACCTTGGTTTCATTTAGAAAATCATATTTTACAGTGTAGTTACTCAATCCAAGTATACAGAAGCTTCTGGCAAACAAACACTCGACCTGAAACAGCACATGCGCTTCAATCAATCGATCAATTAATCAATCAAATCAAAACTTTATTACAGACTCAGGGTCCAATTTTTAAAACACACCCAACATATAAAACAACAACAACAAACGCGTTACAAAAATACCAGTGTTTCCACAATTCCCCATGTCATCAACAGCACAACACGAATCAATCAGAACCGCACAACCCTTGACCGGGAGCTGCGCGTGCACTGTATCTATTCCCCGTGTCATTTCTTAAGGAACTCCTTAACCTTGGTTTCATTTAAAAAAAATAATTTTGCACAGTGTAGTTTCTCAATCCAAGTACTGAAGCTTCTGGGAAACAAACACTCGACCTGCAACAGCACGTGCGCTTCACTCATCATCAACAGCACAGCACAGATCGATCAGAACCGCACAAACCTTGACCGGGGAGTTGCGTGTGGAGACGGGCAGGTCCCGCACAGTTGTGCCCGGGGGAGACGCCGATACTCCGGCCGCGCATCCCGCGAGCCCCGTCCTCCCTCCCCCGTTCTTTGGGCGCTGTTTAATCCCGTCCAGTAAGCGGACCAGCAGAATATTGGCCGGTAGATCGTCGACCGCGGAGTCCACTAGGATGCGGCACTCCGGGCAGCGCAGCTCGTGTCTGGAGCTCACGATGTTCTCGAGGCAGCGGCGGCAGAAGGTGTGCTGACAAGGCAGGACTTTAGCGCTCGTGTCCAGGCGCTCCAGACACACCGAACACTCCAGCAGATCCAGCAGAGACGACTCGTCCATGTTTGCATGCAGTGCGCAACGCTGTCGTTGACGCGGATCAAGTTAGCCTGCATGTGGTTATATTATATTAATGCACGGAGAACGCGTTGAGACATACCGACCGAGCGCTGGGAAGCGCGAGCGAGCGCGTCTGCTGCTGCTGCTCCTCGGTCTCTCTCTCACTCTCTCACTCTCTCTCTCTCTCTCTCTCTCTCTCTCTCACACACACACACACACAGCTGTGATGAATAGTGAGGTCATGCACGCACGCGCTATCAAGCGCGAGGTTCAAAAGCGCGTCATCATAAGGGCTGTTTGCCTGCAAAACTGTCGAATGAACTTGATTTGATTTGCGTTGGTGCTCCAGATTCCTCAAATCACACTGCGGTTTTACTGATCAGACGCAGCATTTCACCTGCTCGACCAGAAAACAGCTGAAAAATAAAATCACGTTGAAGGAGGGACTAGAGAGCCATATCTGGGCACTTAGCAACGCCCTAACAACTCATAGCAACGTTGCTACCGCATTGCAACACCCTAAGTATGTGATAGCAATCGGCATTTCTTTTTTGTGGCATTACGTAAATGATTTAAAGGGATTGTTCAGTCAAAACTGGAAATTCTGTCATTAAATAGCCTACTCATCTCAAGTCATTCCATCATTATATCAACTCAAACATCGGTTGTCATGTTTGAGCTTCAGCAAGAACCAATGAGGTTCATTCTCGTGTTACGCAGCACGTTTGGGCTTCTGCAAGAACCAATGAGGTTCATTCTCGTGTTACGCATCATGTTTGAGCTTCTGCAAGAACCAATGAGGTTCATTCTCGTGTTGCGCATCACATTTGAGCTTTAGCAGGAACCAATAAGGTTCATTCTCGTGTTACGCATCACGTTTGAGCTTCAGCAAGAACCAATGAGGATCATTCTCGTGTTACGCATCACGTTTGAGCTTCAGCAGGAACCAATAAGGTTCATTCTCGTGTTACGCAGCACGTTTGAGCTTCAGCAAGAACCAATGAGGATCATTCTCGTGTTACGCATCACGTTTGAGCTTCAGCAAGAACCAATGAGGATCATTCTCGTGTTACGCAGCACGTTTGAGCTTCAGCAGGAACCAATGAGGATCATTCTCGTGTTACGCATCACGTTTGAGCTTCTGCAAGAACCAATAAGGTTCATTCTCGTGTTACGCAGCACGTTTGAGCTTCAGCAAGAACCAATGAGGATCATTCTCGTGTTACGCAGCACGTTTGAGCTTCAGCAAGAACCAATGAGGTTCATTCTCGTGTTACGCATCACGTTTGAGCTTCAGCAAGAACCAATGAGGTTCATTCTCGTGTTACGCATCACGTTTGAGCTTCTGCAAGAACCAATGAGGTTCATTCTCGTGTTACGCAGCACGTTTGAGCTTCTGCAAGAACCAATGAGGTTCATTCTCGTGTTACGCATCACGTTTGAGCTTCTGCAAGAACCAATGAGGATCATTCTCGTGTTACGCAGCACGTTTGAGCTTCTGCAAGAACCAATGAGGTTCATTCTCGTGTTACGCATCACGTTTGAGCTTCTGCAAGAACCAATGAGGATCATTCTCGTGTTACGCATCACGTTTGAGCTTCTGCAAGAACCAATAAGGTTCATTCTCGTGTTACGCAGCACGTTTGAGCTTCAGCAAGAACCAATGAGGATCATTCTCGTGTTACGCAGCACGTTTGAGCTTCAGCAAGAACCAATGAGGTTCATTCTCGTGTTACGCATCACGTTTGAGCTTCAGCAAGAACCAATGAGGTTCATTCTCGTGTTACGCATCACGTTTGAGCTTCTGCAAGAACCAATGAGGTTCATTCTCGTGTTACGCAGCACGTTTGAGCTTCTGCAAGAACCAATGAGGTTCATTCTCGTGTTACGCATCACGTTTGAGCTTCTGCAAGAACCAATGAGGTTCATTCTCGTGTTACGCATCACGTTTGAGCTTCTGCAAGAACCAATGAGGTTCATTCTCGTGTTACGCATCACGTTTGAGCTTCTGCAAGAACCAATGAGGTTCATTCTCGTGTTACGCAGCACGTTTGAGCTTCTGCAAGAACCAATGAGGTTCATTCTCGTGTTACGCATCACGTTTGAGCTTCTGCAAGAACCAATGAGGTTCATTCTCGTGTTACGCATCACGTTTGAGCTTCTGCAAGAACCAATGAGGTTCATTCTCGTGTTACGCATCACGTTTGAGCTTCTGCAAGAACCAATGAGGTTCATTCTCGTGTTACGCAGCACGTTTGAGCTTCAGCAAGAACCAATAAGGTTCATTCTCGTGTTGCGCATCATGTTTGAGCTTCTGCAAGAACCAATGAGGTTCATTCTCGTGTTGCGCATCACATTTGAGCTTTAGCAGGAACCAATAAGGTTCATTCTCGTGTTACGCATCACGTTTGAGCTTCAGCAAGAACCAATGAGGTTCATTCTCGTGTTACGCATCATGTTTGAGCTTCTGCAAGAACCAATGAGGTTCATTCTCGTGTTGCGCATCACATTTGAGCTTTAGCAGGAACCAATAAGGTTCATTCTCGTGTTACGCATCACGTTTGAGCTTCAGCAAGAACCAATGAGGTTCATTCTCGTGTTACGCATCACGTTTGAGCTTCAGCAAGAACCAATGAGGATCATTCTCGTGTTACGCATCACGTTTGAGCTTCAGCAGGAACCAATAAGGTTCATTCTCGTGTTACGCAGCACGTTTGAGCTTCAGCAAGAACCAATGAGGATCATTCTCGTGTTACGCATCACGTTTGAGCTTCAGCAAGAACCAATGAGGATCATTCTCGTGTTACGCAGCACGTTTGAGCTTCAGCAGGAACCAATGAGGATCATTCTCGTGTTACGCATCACATTTGAGCTTTAGCAGGAACCAATAAGGTTCATTCTCGTGTTACGCATCACGTTTGAGCTTCAGCAAGAACCAATGAGGTTCATTCTCGTGTTACGCATCATGTTTGAGCTTCTGCAAGAACCAATGAGGTTCATTCTCGTGTTGCGCATCACATTTGAGCTTTAGCAGGAACCAATAAGGTTCATTCTCGTGTTACGCATCACGTTTGAGCTTCAGCAAGAACCAATGAGGTTCATTCTCGTGTTACGCATCACGTTTGAGCTTCAGCAAGAACCAATGAGGATCATTCTCGTGTTACGCATCACGTTTGAGCTTCAGCAGGAACCAATAAGGTTCATTCTCGTGTTACGCAGCACGTTTGAGCTTCAGCAAGTACCAATGAGGATCATTCTCGTGTTACGCATCACGTTTGAGCTTCAGCAAGAACCAATGAGGATCATTCTCGTGTTACGCAGCACGTTTGAGCTTCAGCAGGAACCAATGAGGATCATTCTCGTGTTACGCATCACGTTTGAGCTTCTGCAAGAACCAATAAGGTTCATTCTCGTGTTACGCAGCACGTTTGAGCTTCAGCAAGAACCAATGAGGATCATTCTCGTGTTACGCAGCACGTTTGAGCTTCAGCAAGAACCAATGAGGTTCATTCTCGTGTTACGCATCACGTTTGAGCTTCTGCAAGAACCAATGAGGTTCATTCTCGTGTTACGCAGCACGTTTGAGCTTCTGCAAGAACCAATGAGGTTCATTCTCGTGTTACGCATCACGTTTGAGCTTCTGCAAGAACCAATGAGGTTCATTCTCGTGTTACGCAGCACGTTTGAGCTTCTGCAAGAACCAATGAGGTTCATTCTCGTGTTACGCATCACGTTTGAGCTTCTGCAAGAACCAATGAGGTTCATTCTCGTGTTACGCAGCACGTTTGAGCTTCTGCAAGAACCAATGAGGTTCATTCTCGTGTTACGCATCACGTTTGAGCTTCTGCAAGAACCAATGAGGTTCATTCTCGTGTTACGCATCACGTTTGAGCTTCAGCCAGAACCAATGAGGATCATTCTCGTGTTACGCATCACGTTTGAGCTTCAGCAGGAACCAATAAGGTTCATTCTCGTGTTACGCAGCACGTTTGAGCTTCAGCAAGAACCAATGAGGATCATTCTCGTGTTACGCATCACGTTTGAGCTTCAGCAAGAACCAATGAGGATCATTCTCGTGTTACGCAGCACGTTTGAGCTTCAGCAGGAACCAATGAGGATCATTCTCGTGTTACGCATCACGTTTGAGCTTCTGCAAGAACCAATAAGGTTCATTCTCGTGTTACGCAGCACGTTTGAGCTTCAGCAAGAACCAATGAGGTTCATTCTCGTGTTACGCAGCACGTTTGAGCTTCTGCAAGAACCAATAAGGTTCATTCTCGTGTTACGCAGCACGTTTGAGCTTCAGCAAGAACCAATGAGGTTCATTCTCGTGTTACGCAGCACGTTTGAGCTTCAGCAAGAACCAATAAGGTTCATTCTCGTGTTACGCAGCACGTTTGAGCTTCAGCAAGAACCAATGAGGTTCATTCTCGTGTTACGCAGCACGTTTGAGCTTCTGCAAGAACCAATAAGGTTCATTCTCGTGTTACGCAGCACGTTTGAGCTTCAGCAAGAACCAATGAGGTTCATTCTCGTGTTACGCATCACGTTTGAGCTTCTGCAAGAACCAATGAGGTTCATTCTCGTGTTACGCATCACGTTTGAGCTTCAGCAAGAACCAATGAGGTTCATTCTCGTGTTACGCAGCACGTTTGAGCTTCTGCAAGAACCAATGAGGTTCATTCTCGTGTTACGCAGCACGTTTGAGCTTCAGCAAGAACCAATGAGGTTCATTCTTGTGTTACGCATCACGTTTGAGCTTCAGCAAGAACCAATGAGGTTCATTCTCGTGTTACGCATCACGTTTGAGCTTCTGCAAGAACCAATGAGGTTCATTCTCGTGTTACGCATCACGTTTGAGCTTCAGCAAGAACCAATGAGGTTCATTCTCGTGTTACGCAGCACGTTTGAGCTTCTGCAAGAACCAATGAGGTTCATTCTCGTGTTACGCATCACGTTTGAGCTTCTGCAAGAACCAATGAGGTTCATTCTCGTGTTACGCATCACGTTTGAGCTTCAGCAAGAACCAATGAGGTTCATTCTCGTGTTACGCAGCACGTTTGAGCTTCAGCAAGAACCAATGAGGTTCATTCTCGTGTTACGCAGCACGTTTGAGCTTCTGCAAGAACCAATAAGGTTCATTCTTGTGTTACGCAGCACGTTTGA